TAATATGAATAATTTACAGTTAAAAGCTTTGGCAGTTCATTTTCGACCTTTTTACATTATATAATTCTACCCACTTTTCAGCTTTTTAAATCGCATTCTATGCCTTTTACACATGCATGGCTCGCAGCAGTCTTGCCACTGCTCCATATTAACTGCTTCTTGTCACTGAGGAGGCCGTGTAAATGTAATAAAAAACTCTGTCAAGGGAAAGGGCAGGAAGAGATAATTACAACACGCTCTACTTTCCCCTGTCCATTGTGAGTTGTGTACTGTAATTAAAACATGAGTTCTAGAGGAACTCTTTCATTGCCAGACAAAGAGCAGTCTGTGGGAAGACTGGGATGTCAACTAAATAACCTACTGGTAAAATTCCTCTTTGACCAGGGTATATTAAAAATAAACAAAACAGAAGAAGTGTCAGGGTTTGGCTGATGTTTTAGTTAGACCCTGCTGGTAGATGTCGGAACTAAAATGACATGCGAAAAAAACGAGAAAAAAAAGATAGGTGTATTCTGACTCAATATTTGTTGTCGTTTAAACATGTAATTTAAGTATTTATATAATATGTTGTAGTGTAGGTTACAGCAGTGCTGTAATTATAAGAGATAACAGCATGCTGCTTTAAAAAACATAGGCTATCCGCTTCAACAAAATCTAAACCGGAAAAGCTATAATTTAAAACGAGATGACTTGTTCCATGACCCCACAGAGGATGCACAAATTTTGGAAAACTGAAAGGATGGATAATGTGATAAGTTTTTAAATGGGCACAAACTAACAAAAGCTATTTGGACTAGATTTTGTGTTGGGGAGAGTGGGGAACTCTTTTAGCAGTTTCTTCAGATACTTAAAGACGTTGTTTTTTTTTTTTTTGTAGAAACCTATTATTTTAATATATTAAACCCACATTTATCAGATACCCAGCAACAATGCTATAACGTGTACTGTACATACACTTGCCGGCCACTTTATTAGGTACACCAATCCAACTGCTCGTTGACACTAATTTCTAATCAGCCCATCACATAGCAGCAACTCATTGCATTGTAGACATGGTCAAGACAATCTGCTGCAGTTCAAACAGAGCATCAGAAAGAGAATGAAAGGTGATTTCGGTGACTTTGAATGTGGCATGGTTGTTAGTGTTGGAGAATATCAAGACTGGTTCGAGATAGACATGCAACAGTAACTCAAATAATCACGCTTTACAACCGAGGTATGCAGAAGAGCATCTCTGAAGGAACAATACGTCCAACCTTGAGGTAGCAGAAGACCACACCAGGTGCCACTCCTGTCAGCTAAGAACAGGAAACGTCCAAGTTATGTACGTAACCTACGTTCCCCGAATAGGGAACTAAGACTTTGGGAGTGCTTTAGACGACCAATCTTTTCGGAAGATATAAAAACGGGCCGACTAATATAGCCCTAATTGGCTCATCAGTTTCAGCTGTGGAGCTAAACTCCGCCAATTCAATTGGCATTTCATTGGCCCGTTTTTATATCTTCAGAAAAGATTGGTCATTTAAAGCACTCCCAAAGTCTGTTTATACAGACACACGTCATAGTTCCCATATGAAGGGGAACTGAGACTACAATTCACACAGGCTCACCAAAATTGGACAATATAAGATTTAAAAAATGATGCCTGGTCTGATGAGTCTCGGCTTCCACTGTGACATTCGGAGGGTATAGGCTCAAAATTTGTCATCAACAATATGAAAGCATGGATCCATCTTGCCTTGTATCAACAGCCTTGTTCAGGCTGCTGCTGGTGGTGTAATGGTGTTGAAATATTTTCTTGGAACACTTTGGACCCATTATTACCAATTTAGCATGGTGTCAACACCACGGCCTATCTGAGTATTGTTGCTGACCATGTCAATATATTTATGACCACAGTTTACCCATCTTAGCAACTTCAGCAGGATATTGTGCCATGTCATAAAGCACAAATCATCTCAGACTGGTTTTTTGAACATGAAATGAGTTTACTATACTCAAATTGCCTCCACAGTCACCAGATCTCAATCCAGTAAAGCACCTTTGGCATGTGGTGGAAAAGGAGATTCGCATTATGGATGTGCAGCCAACAAATCTGCAGCAAATGCATGATGCTATTTTGTCAATATAGACCAAAATCTCTGAGGAATATTTCCAGTAGCTTGTTGAATCGACGAAGGATTTAGGCAGCTTTGAAGGCAAAAGGAGGTCCAACCTGGCACTAGCATGGTTTACCTAATAAGGTGGCCAGTGTATAAAAGCACATCTTTTATGATCACATTTTAATTTTCATGACTCATTTGTGGAAACTGCTGTTGTGTAATGTTTTCGAATGCTTAATTACATGTTATGTACCTACATATTTATATATGTATGCATAATACATATTTTAATTACCCGTGTATTATTGTATTCAGTGCATGATAATATAGGTAACAATTTTCTGTCACAACTCATGCTATTAACAAAGCTTTACTATTAGCTTAACAAACTACTAATTAGTTGATTATTAATAGTTAGTATGGTTTAGGTATTGGGTTGAATTGGGGATGTAGATGATGACTATACTTTATAACTACTAATAAACAGTAAATATCTTAATAATGGGCAGGTTACAGTATATACTAAGCTAGTAGTTATTAGCATGAATTGTGACTTAAACATAAGTGTTACCATAATATATGTGGAATTGTAATAAGTTACGTTGTAGCTGCTCCACGACTCCATTATCCTCTATATATTGTACTATTTTTCATGTTGTTTTATTTTTAAATATAAAATAAATGAGAAACACTTTTCAGATGTAACTGTTCTTTTGTTACAATTAATTTAAAATGCAACTGCAGTATTTTTGTTTTAGTGATGTATTCTGTTACTCCTCATCCTAGGTCATTTATCTCCATTGTATGCAAGCAAAACCTACAGTACATTATTTCTTCTGTTACAATCCAAAACATACGATTGAATTGAAATCTTTGAATGGATTTTTCCTTTAAGCATTTTCTTTTAAAATGGCACATTTCAGATTTTTCTCTGGTTTCCTGTACCAGTAAAGTAACCTCAAGTGAAATGAACTGCAATACCAACAGAGCTTTCTACAGGTGTTATAAACCTCCTTATTTAAAGCATCAAGCAATAGGGCACGGACTCAGTCCACTGACATTTACATTACATTTAGCTGCATGCATTTGAAGGATGCTTTTATCCAAAGTGACTTAAAGCACATCTGCGCTATATGTTTTATCAGTATCTGACCTTAGCACTGTTAATGCCATGCATGAGGGAAAATGTTGTATTGTACAACAGATGATCTGATACAATTGAGCAGGTACAGAAACACAAATGCACCACAAAGATTCGCAGAGGAAGCACAACACGCAAGGAGTGCGTTTGAGTAAATCCATTTTTAATGAGCATATGTGCTATTTGAAGGCTACAGTCTCACTGTTTGAAAGATTGATTAAGCTGTGGGAATACTTGACTGAATCACATGTCTCAGTAACATGCTGTCTGGAAAAAATGCACTGAATTCTCTGTGTCATGCACAACTTGCTTATGTGCAATTGATTAAAAACATATCTGAGCTGCAATTAAAGGGGTAGTTTCAAAGGGGTGTTTCGCTGCTCAATGCGTGTGAAACAATCAACAACCAATGAGAGTGTTTGTAAACTTAAGAAAGCCGATTGGCAGAAAATATTGTTGAGGGCTAATAGTTAAACGTGACTTTAACTTCCGTATGGTGACTAATGTTAATGTTAATGCCGGATCAATTAAAATAAATACTGAACAAATACCAGGAATATCTGACATTTTCCAGAACATGATCCGGCTAATTTAAGCACTGGCTACAGGTTTCCAACATTCTTCAAAATATCTTGTTTGTGTTCTACAGAAGAAAGAAACTAGTGAAACAAGTTAGATGGACAATAAATGGTGAAAGAAATGTCGTTATTGTGGTGATATTTTTGGAAGCACTTTACTTTAAGGGGTACATAAGATTATCATGAAACCTTTATAATTATGACAAGATACATCAAAAATATGAATGATATTTTATGGATGCTTATGACAAATTTCATTATGTGTCATCTGCCCAGTTATGCCATTTTAATTGCAAAGGTGACATTGTTTGAAATGCCTTTGCTATGAAAATTTGACAGTAACAAATATACAATCTGTCTTTGTCTTCATGAAAACTTGACATTATACGGACAGCATAAAAGTATCATTAATATTTTTCTTGACCTTGAAAGATTACATATGTTTTTGTAAGATGGATTCTGAGGGAGCAGGTTTGAGGGCCTGCGTGCAAGGGACAGTATCATTTATCCAATGTAATGCAAATTATAAGTGCTAGGCACATCAGGTCTGATTGCATATGTGTGAAAGGCATATTGTTAGTTCCAAACATTGTTTAACCGCGGGATACTTTTATGCAAAGCCCAAAAAACAAGATTTGTGTACTAAACCTGTAATGGCAGTTTAGTTTCCAGTAATAATCACTGCCCACTAAATTGTGTATTTAACTGAGTGCTAGCTTCAGTAGTACAGAGATTGTTCAATGAATGCCACAGCGATGGTGAGTTCTTAATAAAAGATTTTGCTTTGAAAATACCCCAAAATCCTCCTGGTTTTGTCTCCTCTTCAAATTCACAATAATCTTAGTTCCTGTGGTACAAATTGATTTAGTCATTAAAATGCCATTAAATATTAATTATGCTGTATAACATTATTTGAAAGAGTAATGACACTTTCACTGAGATATTGCAATGACAAAAATATTCTTTCACTGAAAAAGTGATCAGAAAACTATTCATAACACAGTTATAATGGTTTTGTGACCATCATGTTTATGACAGATTTATGACAAGTTATGGTGTCTTGGTTACTCTTATGAGTTTACTTCTTATGAACACCCCCTTTAAGCAGTGTGGTACCACATATTCATTACCTTCAACACTGAAATGCCAATAATAAGTAATCAAGTGAACACAAAGCAATATGTGGAACTTAATTAGCTTTATTAAACAGGCATAAACAAAATTTATGCTAGAAAAAACATCAACGTCCAGTAAATGCATACTTGTGTATTTGTAAGATTCAGTACAGCCAAAGAAGTAAAGCACAACTTCAAACAAATCAACAAATCTCCAGACAGAGTATTTGGCTCGCCTTGCTTGAAGCAACAAGAAGAAGAAGAAGAAGAAGAAGAAGAAGAAGAAGAAGAAGAAGAAGAAGAGGAAGAAGAAAACTCTTCAGGATTCGAAAGCAGACAGATCACAAACAGGTTTCTATCATAAAATGAATCGCTAATGTCATGCTGTGAATCCGTTTCAAGTTAGAAACAGCCAATCAGATGCTAAAGGAAGAAGAGGAATGTGTGAGTGAGTCTGCCAGTCGGGTGGCAAACTCTGCATGTAGATGTACATTAATGCTTTCATATCATACACTGAAGGGTTCTTTATAAACAAAAGAGCTCTGGTTATTGCAGTGATGTGCTATTGGGCGGTCGTGATGGTGCTCTTCTTAGCTACTTCGGCTCGCGTTGTTTCTGAAACAGATGACACATGTGTTTTTTTTTTTTTTAAACACATCCCTGAAAGATGAAAGGCTGGCATTTACAAATGACTGTGTTTTGTTGCTGACTTGCTGAGAAATGATTAAATCCCAACTTAAATGCATTTCTTAACAGCCTAATCAAATTCAGTTAAATAGCTTTGGTTTGAGTCAGACGTTAGGAGCATTACCATACACAGGCAATCTAACGGAGAAGGGTGCTTACATGACATTAACGGGGTACCATCTGTATTATTGCTTAGCAACAAGCAATTAAGGCGGTATTGCTAGGATACCATTTTAACCATACTGAAGTCTGCTGGGGAAATGCAGATTCCAGGATTGTGGAGAGTTTGTGAAAGCAGCCGTGCCAAAGAATCTGGCTATTGTTGCTAAATATAAAGATTGATTAGGATCTGCTTTAATTTGCTAGGAGTGACACTTTCAGATGTATATTAAACCTGAAATGGGATAATGAAGGGGTGCTTAACAATTACACTAGCAGTATTTTTTTTCATTTTGTTTTTTTAAATGGTGACTCTTTTGTGCTGTAATAAAGGTATAAAGTGGTATAATGCATTTACTTTAGATTGATTCAATGATACTACATCATATTTTTGACTTAAATACATTTTTGATTTATATTTTTAAGTTGGCTATTTTGTTGGGTGTACTTACTGGGAATGTACAAATGGGGGATGCTATAATTGAAAATTAAAACCTGATGACAGGCCATTGAGTTATTGACAATAAGCGCATAACCAATTTGGTAATGTGCTTAGAGTATAAAGCAGATTTGAGGAAGATTTAATCATTGATGTGTTACGAATCATTTGCATGTGTAATCAGTGCATATAACCTGTAAATCATTTCTAATTTAATTTAAAAGTTAATTTCATATATAAATGTTATTTTAAATATATGGAATAATGTTTGAAAGCTGGAGTAAAAAAAAAGGTAAATAGACAATTCAGATTTTTTTAACATTGGCTCATTCTGAAAACGTAGCCCTATAAACATTTATGGAGATTTATGAATTATGGCTAATTACTATTAACCAGAAGTGGGTATGGCTGCATTTCGTCTTTAAAACAAACTCTACGGGGTGGTATGATGCTGTTCCTTTTCTCTCTTACAAGCTGACCAATTACCTCCATATGGACGACTTACCAGTTGTTCGGTAGCTTGCCATGTACCTCGGCAGACTTGAGATGCAGAGCGAAGTTGACTGTGACAACATGATTCAAGTTCAGTGAAGAACGGTTCCAGAAAGCAGGTAGGACAAAAACAAAAGCTAAAAAATAAAATAAACAAGTAAATAATAGGGTGAGAGTCAGACCAGGGCTTTTATTTTTCTGGATTGCTTTTTGAAACACTGTCTCTTGGGTTTGGGGAAGGGGGTTGGCGCTGGTCAATCTGTGCTTTTTAAAACACTACTGATTAGTCAGTCAGTCGACAGTGGCTTTTGGTGGATTTATACGAGAACAGCAGGCGTGGTAGTCACTAGCGAGAAAAATTTTAGATCTCAAAAACGTACACAGTGGTCTTTGGTGGATTTGCAAAAACAAAAACTGCAAAACGTAGTTTTCTTGGATGTATTTTATTCTGTCAGTTGCAGTTGTGAGTTTATATACAGTTGATGACAAAGTTATTAACCTCCATGTGAAATCTATTCTTTTTAAAAATATTTCAAATATTTCAAATAATACACGTATAATAACTCGTTCCATTAAACAGCACTAGGGAAATGTTAAAATATGAATGTAGAAATATTAAGGATTAACATGTAAATCCAACGTAGGCTTATTCTGAAAACGTACCCCTGTATACATTTTGTTTTTGCGAATCCACCAGAGGCCGCTGTGTATAATTTCAGATCTCAAATTTCTCTCATGAGTGCCATTCTCATCTCGTGTGGGGGTGGGGTGGTTTGTGATATGGACGAAACTAATGACTGAAGGGGGTAAGATGAGGAGGTGTGGGATGGAGGCGGGGACGTGTGAGGTGGCAGATCGGCATAATGAGGTGCCAGATCAGATTTCAGAATACTTAAAAGCGCAGACTGACCCACCCACCAACTTTCTTAAAGCCAACCAACAGTTTTAAAAAGCAATATAGAATAAGAAGCCCTCGTCTGATTTTTACCACATTTTCAGATTTTTCCACACTCTCACACTGTTCTTTACTTCATTTATTTTTTGGCTTTTGTTATTATCTTACCCACTTTCTGGAACCGTTCTTCACAGCACTCAAACCTCATCATCATGGTCAACTCCTCGCACAAACTGGTAATAGTGGGAATGTCGTCCAAATGGAGGTGAGCGGTCAGCTAGTAAGCACGAAATGGAACAGCGTCATACTGCCCCGTAGCATTTATTTTAAAGACGAAATGCAGCCATACATACTGCTGGCTACATAAGGCTCAATTTCCAAAAAAATGTTTATAGGGCTACATTTTCAGAATGAGTCTGTGTTGTGTAAATCTCAGAATTTTGACATAAATTGTGAGGTATAAAAAATATATATGTAAAAAATAAACTTAAATAAATATACTTATCATGTTTAATATAATATAACTATTAATAACTATTTATTATGAATATAATAAAACTTAATATAAAATTACTTATCATGTTTATCCTAGCTTTTATTCCTTTTTTAGTTTTACCCTTACAATTAACTGAACAGTTTTTTAAAGCTTCAGTCATAGATTTTCATTTACTTATTTATTTAAACAAAAATATGTAATACTGTTGTTTTGCATTTTATTTTTAGGATCACTAAACAATAACAATCCTGTTCTTGGTCTTGTTTGTTGTATTCCTAAAGTCACCCATGGCTAATGTATTTTGATGTAATGTCCATGCTGCTAACCTCTTCTCTAGGCTTGTCATCCTTCATTTTCTTCCTGGTCATGTGACCTCGGAAACCAGCTTGAATCTTAGCGGCAGCTTTGTTTGCAGCTGGGTCATCAAGGGGAATGTCCATGATGTCCTCGTCCTGTGGCTGACTGCATCCTTCCTGCAATTCAGATCAAACTAATAAAACACAGGCAGCCATTTTAGCAGTGACTACATGGCGGAAGAACAGTAACAGATCTGTGTCAAGATGTACAGTACACTAAAGTGTCAACAAACTTTCGCACTCTATAAAATCCCACAAGGGCAATCTGTATCAAGAACATCATGTGTAAAATGCGACAGATTGGAGAGCAGAATTCATCAAAAGGAACCAAGTAATGTCCTGCAAGAATGGTTAATGGTTCCTCTGTTTACTGGATAATAACAGAAAGACTTTAAAGCAGTTTGTTAATATTCAATGAGGTGTAATACAGTTGAGGTAAGAATTATTAGCTCTCCTGAATTATTAGCCACCTGTAAACATTTTCCCCCAACAGAAATACTTTTTTTAATCACATATCTAATCATAATAGTTTAATAGTTAATTTCTAATAACTGATTTATCTTCGCCATGATGATAGTATAGAATATTTTACTAGAAATGTTTCTAGATTCTAGTATTCAGCTTAAAGTCACATTTAACGGCTTAACTAGGTTACAAGTTATGGTAATTAGGCAAATCTTTGTAAAATGATGGGTTGTTTTGTAGCCTTTGAACCTTTGAAACTAAATATTGCTTAAGGGGGCTAATAATATTGACCTTAAAATCATTTCTAAAATTTTAAACAGTTTTCATTCTAGCCAACATAAAAAGAATGAAGACTTTTTTCCAGAAGAAAAAATATGATAGGAAATACTGTGAAAAATTTGTTGCTCTATTTGGGCTAATAACTTTGACTTCACTGTATGTATTAATCACAACAACTGGCGTAGTAGATGGGCGTTCATACATATAAAGGATTCACTTCCTCAAAGTCCCAAGCTTTCCTTGCATCTTCCTACTCTCCCAATCCACCTTTTCTTGCAATTTTATTTAATGCCCAGAATTCCGATTTGACCAGTTTTGCTTATTTCGGTATTTTTCTTAAGCAACAACTCACGCCAAGTAAAAACATTTTTTATGCGTTCATTTTCCCTCAGCTTAGTCCCTTATTCATCAGGGGTCGCCACAGCAGAGTGAATCGCCAACTTATCCAGCAAATGAATTATGCTGTGCATGCCCTTCCAGCTGCAACCCAGTACTGGGAAACTTTATTAAACACATCCACTACAGCCAATTTAGTTTATTCAATTCACCTATTGTGCATGTCTTTAAACTATGGGGAAACCAGAGCCCCAGAGGAAACCCACGACAACACGGGAGAACGTGCAAACTCCACACAGAAATGCCAACTGGATTGTATGGATTGTTCACTTTGATTTAATGACCATTATAAATACTATAAACCATTACATCCCAAACATAAAATATGTTTCAGTTTTATATAATTCATACATGAACAAAACCAAATTTGAAATAAGAACTGCAAAATCAGGGGTGACATGGTGGCTCAGTGGTTAGCACTGTCGCATCGCAGCAGGATTTTTTGCTTCAATGCCAAAAGTCATAAGCATGTTCCATGAAGATATTTAGTAAATGTTCTACATCAAAACTAATCTTTTAGGCAATAAGCTGTGAATGAGCAATGAGCTTAGGCAATGAGCTGATAACATAATTTGACTTTCATTTTTATTTATTTACATCTTATACTCTGGGACAAGATGGTGGCTCAGTGGTTAGCACTGTCATCTCAAAAAGAAAAGGTTGCTGGTTTGAGTAACGGCTGGGACAGTTGGCATTTTCGTGTGGACTTTGCATGTTCTCCCTGTGTTTGTGTAAGCGCTATGACTGAACTGAATAAACTAAATAGTGTATGAGTGTTTGTGTGTGAGAATGAGTGAGTATGGGTGTTTCCCAGAACTGGTTTGCAGCGGAAAGGGCATCCTCTCTGTAAAACATATGATGGACAAGTTGACGGTTCATTTCGCTGTTCAATTCATTTCTGCGACCCCTGATGAATAAAGGGACTAAGCCGCAGGATAATGAATGGATAAATGAACTGCAAAATCATTTCCTATTTGGTCTCTCATTATAAAATCAAGCTGTTTTATTAAATAACAGAAAAAAATTTGAATAACGTCTTGCTCTTATTTACATGACCAGAAACAAAGGGAATGGCCTATTTTTTTAACTGTTTTCAAATGTTGTTAATTACAAAAAAAAAAAAATAAATAAATAAATCAGTCATTGTACATTTTAGTTTCACTGTCATTCGTTTAATCAAGTTGATTGACCACAATAAACCAGAACAGGATTTCCCAAACTTGTAGAAGTAGGAAAACAGTGCAGGTGTCAGATAGTCATTTTGATTTTAATGTATTTTTATTTGTAAAACCGATTAAAAATGTTATGGCAGTCAATTCTTTTAATAAGAAATTAACTAAAGAAGACTATATGACAAGGCACTCATATACACTGTGAGGGGCTCTTGCGGGGGGATAATGCACTTTGTGATAAACCGCTGATCACAAGTGAACATTTGAGGCATTTGAGGCAATTTTAATGGGGTCTAAAACATTTTGAACCCTTTTCTTTAAACAAATTGTTTTTGTATTGTTTTATAAACCCCCAAAAAAGGCTCTTTAACTGCTTTAGGGGCCTTTCGCATATCACATATAGCATAGGGCTAGGCCAGGGATGTCCAAACTTGGTCCTGGAGGGACCTGCAGATTTCAGCTTCAACTTGCCTCAACACATCTGCAAGGATGTTTCTATAAAGCCTGATAAGAGCTTGATTAGCTAGCCCAGGTGTGTCTGATTGGGGTCGGAACTAAACTTTGCAGGACACCAGCCCTCCAGGACCGAGTTTGGGTACCCCTGGGCTGGGCGATTAAATGTTTTAATTTTAACTTATTTTATTTTTTTGCCCTCATAGTTCACTGACAAGTTTGTACAGTAAGTATGCTTTTTTAAAAGTTGGGTGCATTACAATATTTGAAAATAATTAAAGCACACACACACACTATCTAATATCTTTGATTCTTTATTAAACATCAAAGCTGAACAACTGAAATTAAAACACATTGCCTCGTCACTGCTACCAAACCAACCAATCACAACGCTAGCACTATGCATCAATGTGATGTGTAGTTACATTTTTTTTTAAAGATACGCGGGCATGCAATGGCTGTGCCTGACCATATGCATGTGCTTGGCTGAAGTATAATATCAGATCAATATAATAAGTCTAAATTAACCTTAACAGAGCGGGGTCATGTGACTCCACATGTGGCAGAGATAGTAAATGAAAGAATTGACCATGAAAATTTTGATCGATTATAGGTTCTGAATGTCGATTTCGATTACTTTTCGATTAATCACCCAGCCCTAATATCGCATCTAAAATTATGTGTAAAACAAGAGGCATATCGGTGCCTTCACCAACATACTTATAAAGTCATGTTCCCCAGAGCATTTCACATTTCATAATTATGCATACATGCCGCACATCTCCATTTGAAATAAAAACTTGCACACTAAAGACGCAATATGTGAATACACTTCACTGTGTTGTGCTCAATCACACGGTTTACAATTGAAATTGTCTTTGCCATACACATCCTTTTCATTTGCATTTTTGCTCACTTATAATCTAGGTAATATAGATCAATTTATTCCATACTTGTGCATCGTAATAACTGCTTCTGTGTAATTGATGTACAATAAGACAAAAGGTTTGATGGAATCAGAAGAACACAAATCCCAGAAGACACATTCAAATGCACGTTAATACCAGGCAAAAAAGTGTGATCAAATCACTGAAATTGCAGATGGAAACAGGGCCTAGAGGTGATTCTTCTGATAGAACATACAGTAACTGTTTTACAAGCATGTACAACAGTACTAAAATGAGATTTTAACAGAAACGTTGAGTCAAACCAAAATAATCGAGTGTGTTGGTTCATCTAAAGATTGTGTGGAATCTTTTTACTTTTAAAGTGTGGTTTGCTGGGGTGAATAATGGTGAAGTATTGTCACAGTCATGTCAGAACATAAGGTCAGCACCTTATGGTCAGCACTTCCTAAGGATCTGTTTAAAGGTACTATTATCATCTAGTTTTTGCTGGGGGTTCTATTAAAATATTCTATTGGGAGTAACAGTATGACGGTTTGAGGTTTTGACATCGGCAACTGTGCTTTTCAGGCACCCTGTATGGGTCATTTTTGAACAAGGTATGATTTACTCATTCATTCATTTATTTTCTTGTCAGCTTAGTCCCTTTATTAATCCGGGGTCACCACAGCGGAATGAACCCCCAACTTATCCAGCACGTTTTTACGCAGCGGATGCCCTTCCAGCCGCAACCCATCTCTGGGAAAGGTATGATTTACTCTTTCCTTGAAATTCCTTGTATATTCAAAAAATATTTTTTAAATACATGCTTTTGCTATTACTGCTTCATGCTGTAATGAAGCAACTGTAAGTTGCAAGACAAAAAAAAGAACACTGTACTGTAATTATTGGTACAGTGCTTAGTATATATAAGTACACCCCTCACAAATCTGTATTTTAAATTCATATTTTTAATAGGAGGCTATACAATATTATATTTGTGCATATACAATAGATTAGTCAGTACTGAAGCCAAATCCAGAGCTTATCTAACAAAATAACTTACCAGTCTAAAAAGTAGAACAGCCAAATTTATGTGTTATGGAAAAATGTATTAAATACAAATAAAAAAAAGAGGAAAATTTTGTAGGTTGTAATTTATTTTTGCAATATTTTTTATTTATTTAATTGTTTTATCTTTCAATTTCTAAATACGTTTGGTGACTAAAACATTATTTTAATAATGTATCTATTTAATAAATCTGTTTTGTTTTAATGCACCAAAATACATGGCCTAAATTTACAGAGAAATGGAAAAAAAAAACATTCATTTTCAAAATGGGGTGTACTTAATTATTCTGAGCACTGTATCATTTGTCCCAAAAATGAAAATTATGTCATCATTTACTCACCCTGATGTTATTCTAAACATTAAATCGGATAGTTTGGGTCATCTATATGCACAATAAGTAACTAAATTTGTTTTTTTCTCAAAATAAGAAAGGTTTAAAAAGAAGAATTTTAAGAATTTCAACAGTACCCAAACAGTTACCAACAATCTTCAAAATATTATCTTTTATATTTAGAACAACACAACAGGGATTTGTCTTTTAAATTGACATTTTATATCATTATCTTTTCTTTCTCAACAATATTATTATTTTTTTAATTAGCAATCATTAAAATCTAAAAGTAAACTATCATGTTTAAGGGAACACATATATTTTTTGGTTTGATTATCTTTGATTCATTTATTCTCCTCATCCAGTGGGACTCAATGTTGGTGGTCCCTAGCGAGCCTTAAGTTTCCGACAGCTCGACTAAATTTCCATGCCTGCTGGGGGTGCATCACTTTCAAGGGACTAAATCTGAAAGCAGTCAAAGCTTTGCAGACTAACAGTGCGAAGATCCAGCTGAGCGGGGTGGAAGCCTGACGTACCTCTGGAGGTTTCAGCACTATTACATGGGCATAAACAAAGATATGTTGCACAAAAAAAAAAAAAATACAAGGGTTCACTGTGATCATTCCACACAAAGCCCTTTGTGTGCCAGTATCTTCATGGTCTGTGATTTGTGAGATTTGAACACCAAAGATCAGCAATAGTAATCTGAATGTATTTCTAGAAACAGAGATTATATGGGTGCTTATCCTAATACCAATCATCAATCAAGGAACATCTTGTGTGAACTTAACTTGTGAGTATGTCTCATCGGAAAGACGGCCCATCAATTTGCAACATGCAAATGACCATCTGTCTCATCAGTCACAGCCACATCTTCGAATTATATGCGGATAATTGCTGTTTCCAGAAACTTCAGAACCCTCCCACAAACACACAACTCAAGCCCACGCACTTGTGTAACAAAGCGACTGCTTGTAGTCCTGCTGTACATGGAGATACAGTAAATCAAATCAGGGAGGGAAACAATTTTGCCAACTTTGTTGCTTTCAGTATCTGTTTAATCATTTTGATCAATACAATGTGAAAATGGAGGCACAGTGCTTGTGTTTGAGTTTGTAAAAATGAACTGATCAAGCATTCAAACAGTCTATCTTTAGACACAGACATGTCACTTCTGAAAATCAGCTCTTATGACCAGACGTCAAATCAGTGACCCTTCTCATCAAACACAACTGCACACACAGCACATCCCCGTCACACACATTTCAGACCTGGCTGTGAATATAAAAACAGTTTTAAAACCAAGACATACTACAAACTGTAAATCTGTTTTAATAAATCAATCTGTTTAAGTTGTCCTTCTGCAATAACATTGATACAACTTAAACATGATTAAAATCCACCTCCCCACGTTCACCAGCTTCTCTTTTAAATCCTCTTGTCAACATTCACTTAGATAATGGTTGGTTTTAGCTGATTAATCTGACTAGATAATTATAATGCTTTTTTTTTTTTTGGTCTCACGTTTTTAATTATTTATTTCTTAATGTAATTTGATGGCCAGCAGTTCCGTAATCCTAAAATAATAACTCAATTTAAGTTGGTTTATAGCTTTCGCTGAATTATTGTTGACATTTATTGTTCATTTTACTGTATGGATATGAGAAACTGCTGAAGAATATATACAAAAAAAAAAAAAATTCACGAATATAGCAAACTTTGTGGCATATCACTTGATTTTATGACGCTGTCATTAGTACCCAAATAGCTCAGTGCATAATTCATAAGTTTTTGTTTATAAGCTGTACAAATACAAACACGGACTTCACTTACGTTTCGACAGTCCATAGCGATTGGAGACGACAGCTTTGTGAAGTTTGAAGCTTGTTGTCCAGTAAAACTATGAGTGAAGAATATCTCGATGAAGATGTGCCTCTCTCTCTTTCAGAGTGTGTTGAGCTCTGTGAGTGTGTTCTCCAACTGTCTGCAGATGATGAGCGCTTCAGCTGAATAGACCAATCAGAGCGCGCGACACACTCCACTTCACGCCTTTCTTCATATCTCAAATCGATTGTTATGGTTTGGCTAAACATCGTTTAATTATTTCACAAAAAGCAAAAAATATCCCAACTTTATTAAGACGCTCTTATTTCTCCAGCTCTAAATAAATATTTAAGGTTCTTAAGGAATTTCACGAGAAAATCATGAAACAATTCTAATATACTTATTTTTTTTTTTAAATCAAGTCAACAACAGCAAATTATGTTTGAGTTAATTTTTTGTGGTAATTATATTGTTTACCACTGATGTTCATCAGTACTGCAGCAGTATGGTAGCAGATTTAAATATATACAACTTAATATTAGTTTATTCATATAATGCCAATGCAGCTTTCGCAGAGACTATTATGGCAACAATACACAGGTAATTAAAATATGTATTATGCATAAATATATAAATATCTAGGTAAATAACATGTAATTAAGCATTCAAAAACATTACATATGTATTATATAACAAATGAGTTTTTACAATTTCCACAAATGAGTCCTGTTAATTAAAATTTAATCATAAAAGATGTACTTATTTACACTAAACTCTTTATTAGGTACAACTTACTAGTACCAGGTTGGACCCCCTTTTGCCTTCTGAACTGCCTTAATCCTTTGTGGCATATATTCAAAAGGTACTGGAAATATTCCTCAGAGATTTTGGTCCATAACAACAAGATAACATCACACAGGTTTGTCGGCTGCATATCCTTAATGCAAATCTCTCATTCCACCACATCCCAAAGGTGCTTTATTGGATTGAAATCTGCTGACTGTGGAGGCCATTTGAGTACAGGGATCTCATTGTTATGTTTAAGAAACCAGTCTAAGATGATTCACGCTTTATGACATGGCACATGCTCCTGCTGGAAGTAGCCATCAGAAGACTAGTACATGACTAGTGGTCATAAAGGGATGGACATGATCACACTGTAAAAAAAAAAAGTTGAATAAACTTAAAATAATAAGGCAACCTATCACACACAGCTTTTTGAGTTAACTAAGTCGACTTAAAATATTTTGTTGAATTCCTTGTTTAACCAACAACATATTTTTGTTTGCTGAACAAATATTATCATGTTTACTCAACAAGATCTTTTGTTTGCTGAATAAAAATTTTCACGTTTATTCAACAAGATCTTTTGTTTACTGAACAAAAATGATCATGTTTACTCAACAAGATCTTTTGTTTGCTGAACAAAAATTTTCACGTTTATTCAACAAGATCTTTTGTTTACTGAACAAAAATGATCATGTTTACTCAACAAGATGTTTTGTTTGCTGAACAAAAATTTTCACGTTTATTCAACAAGATCTTTTGTTTACTGAACAAAAATGATAATGTTTACCCAACAAGATTTTTTTAGTTTACTGAACAAAATAAAACAAACTGATTCATTATGCATTTACCATAAATTTTTAGGATTCAAATTAAATACACAAGAATAGTCAATTCACTTTTTTTATTTTTAACTGTGTTCAAATCACAATCCAAAACATTTGCATACAAAATCAGCATTTGACATTAGCCGTGTTCAGCATTGGGCTAGTTTGTACACAACTAGTACTGAATGTTTCCAGATTTGAAAAGATTGTACACTGCCTCAACATAAAATAACTGGCAACCTTACTAAAACCAAGCTATTAGTGTGTCCAAACACTCAAACCAGGTGAATATACAATCATCTAATCAGAGTAAACCCTAAAAGCCACTCCATTCAAACAGTCTTTAAAGTGTACTGCACTTTTGTCAACAAAGTACATCAAGTCCAAAAACAGACCTCAAAACATTCAAACAGTGGCACAGTAGGAAGTGCTTTCACCTCCCACCAAGGTCGCTGGTTCGAGTCTCAGCTGGGTCAGTTGCCGTTACTGTGTGGAGTTTGAATGTTCTCCCTGCGTTCACGTGGGTTTCCTTTGGGTTCTCCGGTTTCCCCCACAGTCCAAAGACGTGTGGCACAGGTGAATTGGGTAGGCTAAAATTGTCCATAGTGTATGTGTGAATGAGTGTGTATGGATGTTTTCCAGAGATGGGTTGCAGCCGGAAGGGCATCCGCTGCGTAAAACAAGTTCCTTGCGCTGTGGCGACCCCAGATTAATAAAGGGACTAAGCCGAAAAGAAAATGAATGAATGAATGAACTGAACTCTCGCAGATCATGTGCCACCAACCTCCATAAAACATGCTGAATCACTTAAAAAGTATATCTGAGTTCTTTTGGGTGTTCCATATTCAATCTATACAAGAGGCTGAACAAGTAAGCGAAGGCTGCAGGCAGATGTGTGATATCCTGAAGTACTATGGCCTCCTCCAAGATTTTAGCGAGGTTCATCACATATTGCAGGGATGCAGAAGTGCCATTATCATCTTCCACCACAGTGAAGATTCCAATCCTTTAATCTCTGGTGCTGTGGTCTTCAGGGTCCGTGTCCTTATAGGAGATTAAGTAATGGGAAAACTAATTGATGTGTAATATTAATTACTACTTATTAATGTTATTACTATTATGCAAAGAAAATAAAAACATGTAATACTTTCGTACATACAAACAGTAACACTTTGAATAGTCTATAATATATAATAATTGAACAATATATTGACAACTTTTTAATATTTAGCAATTTTTTAAACTTTTATTTTACATAAAATTGCAAAGATTTACTTTTATTTGATACAGTTTCAATTGTGAAAGTTGTTTATTGTCCTGTTTAGAATATAACTGAGCCTTTAATTGTCATTCATAAGGGATTTATAAAGCATAAATAGTCCTCACTTTAGATTAGGTCACAACTGGATGAAGTTAAGCTCATAAAGCATATACTAACATACAAAGTAACTATTATTACATACCTTAATATTAGGATATTTAAATGTTAATTTGAATAGTTTATTAATCGTGTACTTAAGCATTCTGAATGATCTTAAAAACACCAAGTATTCTTAAATAACTGGTTTGTAAATAATGCAATACTTAAATTAGTAATACAAATGAATCATTAAAGTTAAAAAAATACAATCATTGAGCACTTCATGTAGAGTTATGCTTAACAGAAAATAAATTAACTATTCGCTAATACTAAATAAATTATTTATAGCGTGCAGCTATTATAAGTGTTACCAAGCAGACTAATAAATGTAGAATAGGGTATGAAAATGGGTAACTTACCAGACATATCTTGAGAAAGCAAGCAGAATTTTTACGAAGAAAAATTGGCAATCCCTCAAGAGCTGCTCTTTCTCGATCGGTGACAATATCAGTGACCTAAAGGAAAGTCATTTACAAAGGGTGTTTTACAATCTTATTGTTTTGTAAGTAAAAATGTACTTAGTACATTTAAATGAGCATAGTATTTTATTCATGCTGTTGAAAAAACACATGGCTTTATTTAAAAAAAAATAATTTTGTGGTTTCCATACAATGGAATTTGATAATGGTTGTGTTGGCAAATTTAGAAAAATGTTTAGTTTCATGTGACAATTACTTTGAGTTAAAAACTACAGTTATTATTTTCTATTTTCCTCTTTGAATGTATTCATTTGAAATGGTCACGCAAAACAAGTGAAACATCTGTTATTTATCTTACTTCCATCTCACAATCAAAACACAACTTGACACAATTAAAATTAATGCAAAAGGGCTGGACAATTAAATTGTTGCAATTACGTTTTATTAGACTGTATTACCTGAGCATGAAATTCATGCTTTTGTGTTTGACAGGACAAAATATGTTGCACATGTTAAAAACATCAGACGGGTGTATAAGAAAAAAAAAATCTTAATGAGTACCTGCTCATCCATCTTGTTTAAAGTTGTATCCATCTCTGGACCCATTGAATCCCTTCTTTTTCTGTAGAGTTTCAGGAGAGGTGCCATATATTTATCAAGTCACTCGATTAACTGTCTCAGGAGATCTACATTACAGATCTGAGAAAACTCTGTGCAGATCTACAATATACAAAAAAAAACATACATATTAATATTTACACATAATATATATATACTACCTTGAATGAAACCAAAGCAATTGCAATATAGTGACTTACCTCTTCCTTAAAGTCCAGGTTATCTCTCTCTAATTTCTTCCTGGCTAAATCTCAACAACTTCTTTTGGGCAAAGAGAAAAGGTTTCTTGCATCTGCTGGTGAATGACCGTCAAATTTCACTGATGATAGCAAGTCTCACCTCCTCAAGGAAATCTTGCATTGAATTATGTCATTGTCAATATTTCAGTCCTTTTGAGTAAAAAGAAAGAAAAATATATATTTAGCCCTTTATATTTTTTATGTAAATAAAAGCTAGCTGACTGTTAAAGCAAGTTGGTCTGAATATGATAGACATTTAGTCGAGCTAACTAATATACAAGCAAATCAAGCAATGAATTACATGAAAATCACACGATTTTCACACAAATTACACAGTTAAACACGTCACCGTTTGTTCCACTGGCTCTGGTTCGAAGGGAAAAAAAGGTTATGATGTGCGCAATGCTGACAGCAATCTAGATAAACAGGACATAATGTTATATTCGTTTTAGCAAGGAAATTTGACTTGGATACCTGATCTGGTATGTTATATGATACTCATTGTATTAATCGTGAGTTATTAAAGCAAATGACTCGATTGAAATCGCTATTTGTTTCAAATACATTCACTCAAAACTTTTATTGATGTAAATAGCCAAAACCAAGTGCACGAAACAAGTAACTCACGGCTAAATTATAACAAATAGTTCCGTATTAGGATACACACGCACATCAAAGCCAACATATCAAATAATATAACGTTAGATGACAACAAAAAAGACATACATACCTATGATTTAGTGATGTGATGTTGTGCGCCGAGGCTTCGAAGCATGTATCAAAAAAACGATACATCTCGCAGTGAAGCAGTGTACCGGAGCTTGATTCGTTTTGCCATCATCACGTGATCAGT